CAGCGTCCTGTTGTTTCTGCACCTTTTTAAACATGTTAAAAATTCCTTTTTCAGCCCCCTAAATCAATTTTCATCGGTGGCTGTGATTAGCCCTCTTTAAACATTCCAAGTGGTTTTGCTATTTGCATACAAAGGTAGGAAAAGGAAGTGATGGAGTCAGACACCTTTTCTGTAATGGGGTGTAAGCTTTGAGCTGCGTCTAGCCTGGAGTTAACGTGAGGGTTGGATATCCATCAACATCTGCTAATTAATATAGCACACACTCTCCTTAAAGTTTGCACACTATGTAGGCATCTAAGGGAAGCTTTAATTATAAAGGCAGTGTGAAATTTTCTTTGAATCTGCTGTCTTGGACCTTTTTAATTAGATAATTGAGACTATATCAATTGAGCCTGGCCATAACAGATGTAAGTTATGATGGCTGATGTTTGACCACATGAGCAGACTCGGATTTTATGGCCTTTTCTCCGATGGTTGTTAAGTGAATACCTCGTCTGTTAAATGAACATTGCAGGCATGAAGTGAACCCATTGTTCGTGGTGGGCAGGTTTTTGCCAGAAATTGGAAGTAAATGCCCAAACTACCCTAAATTGCAGTCACATGACCACAGAGCACTGCAAATGGTCATAAATGCAGGCCGCTTGTTGAGCTCTCTAAATGAGGTCATGAAATTCTAGGTACTTGGTGCTCTCTGAGCTTGGTTGTTTTCTTGCAGGCATTTCATTCCTCAAACCAGGTAACATCATCAGTTACGCTAGTGACGATGCTACCTAGTGATGATGTTACCCTACTACAGTAGAACTGATGATATTACTAGTTCAGGCAATGAAACGTCTTCAAGAAAACAACCAAGCTCAGTGATCACCAAGGATCCTTCACTTCAACCCTGACCTACAGATATTCTCCTTTATTGCTTGTGGATACATTTGTGTTGTGGCAGGATACAATCTGGGTCAGAGGTTTTGTCTTCCAAGCTTTTGGACTCATCGAATAGAATAGAATTTTTTATTGGCCAAGTGTGATTGGACACACAAGGAATTTGTCTTGATGCATTTGCGCTCGGTGTACATAAATGCTCATGCTGGAGCTTCAGGGAACTTCGCTCTAGCAGATTGTGCTTTGGGCTGTTTTGTGTGGTGTTTATCTTGTGCCTGTTGCATGTGGCCTTTTAGTTGTCGATTAGGGTGTGTAGATGGCTGTTTTTTAAGTCATTAGCTGTCATTTGTTTGTGCTGCCAAGACCTCACCTTCTAAGTATTTGATAGGCTGGTGGTAAACTGACTGACAAAGGGCCTGTTTCCCAGGCTTCAATTACTTCTTGGCTGTTTTTGTGCCTGCTCGTCTGACAATCTTAGTAGCTGCAAAATTGAATGTGTGTCCTTGTTCGTTGCAATGTGAGGCTACCAATGAATTTGGGTCTCCTCATCTGACTGCCTGCTTGAGTTCTTGCAATCTGGTGGTTAGCTTCCTACCCATTTGACCCACATAGTTAGGGGACACGTGTATCCTCGGACACGTGTATTCACCTTCATTTGTGTTGTGTCAGATGTTGGAACTTCAAAACCGTGTCCTAAGGAGCTTTTGGGGAGTCCATCATAATTGTTGTGGTTAGCCGGCAGCAGGTGCGGACGGCTGAGGAGAGTGAGGAGAACAGATGAGGGGCCAGGACCATTAGGGAGTGGACTGCTGCCTTCAGAGATTGTGGGAGCTGGCAGCAGCAATGAGGAGGTTCCCGAGGAGCCTGTGCCAAGTGCGCATGTGTGCAGGGTTGCTCATAGGAAAGAGCAGCTGCAGTACCACGGGCGACTTGGGAGTAAGGCTGCAAGGTAATGGCCCCTCCTTCAAGAAGATAAAAGCCAGCTGTGAATCAGATGTTCTTTGCAGGAAGCAAAGACGTTTTCAAACTCAGCCTCGTGGAGATTGCAGTTTCTTAAGTTGGGATTTGAAGACTCTTGTGTTATGAAATATTTCTTATCTGTTATTCTTGGCAGCCTTGCACAGTTTTGGCGAGGCTCGTGCTTATCAAAGTTAATTAGTTTATAGCAGCAGCCTTTTAATCGGTGATTCGTAAGAATCATTAAAAGGTTTCTGTTCCCTTTGGTTCGTGTTTGTTTTATTGGAAAAGGGTTTGGGTCAGAACAATAATTTTGAAGGGTCACTAAATGACCAGTCATAAGCCAAGAACTACCTATATGCCATATTTGGAAAACAAGTCCCAGTGTATAACTTTTTAATTTTCCAGGAGGGCTTTCTCTTCAGTGTCTCCAAAGAACACCAAGGAAAAACCACTGTGTCTGCTTTTGGTTTTTCATCAACCATATGGCCCAAACCCTCCCGGGATGATAGCACTTCAAAATATAGCAGAGAAGAAAGCGGGCTTCAGCATTTTCCTATGTAAATTAATCTGAGATTGCACAAACATAATAAAAGGCTTGTCCTGAAGGGGGAGAACCCTTGTGTCCTTGATGTGCTGAGCTTTTACAGGCAGGCAGTTTTTGGGTGGAACATTCCCTTGTTCCACCCAAGCAACATCAGGAAGTCTTTGGTTTCTGCCAAATTAAAGCAAATTTGTGAAATCAGTAGCTGGATTTCCATCTTGAGCAGGGCTGTCAAATTCAAGGCCTGCGAGAACAAACCTGGCCTGTGGAGTGCTTAGGTCTGGCCCTGGAACAGGGGACAGTCCTGGAAACAATGAAAGACCAGCCTGCGATGCTTCTACTAGGGAAAACAAAGCTTGGGAGGGCCATGGGCGGCCCTTGCGAGCTCCGTTTCTGCTGGCAGTGGGTTGCAGGAGGTCGTTGCAGCTGAAACGGAGGTCGGGACCTTGTTTTCGCTGGTAAATTGCTTGGGTCCCCACAGGCGACCCCCGACATGAGTGATGTTAAGCTAGCCCCACCCACCCTGGCCATGCACACCCCGGCAACCAAAGAAGAACCAGCCGATCAGCTGTGGGCGTGGCTTGGTGGGCATGGTGTTCTATGGGTGTGGCTTGGTGGGTGTGACAGTGAAAGGATATACTGCAAAATCCCCTTTCCCTCCGCACCCCACTGACCTGCTTTCCAGCTCCATTCTCCTGTGTAGGGCAACCAAAGAAGACCCAGCCAATCAGCTGGGACTCAGGAGGTGGAGACTAGATGGGGAGGGGCCAGTCAGAGGTGGTATTGTCCGCTTCCCCAAACTACTCATAATTTCCGCTACCGGTTCTCCAGAACCAGTCAGAACCTGCTGAGTCCCACCTCTGCTGCAGAAGCAATAAGAATGTGGCAAACATCTTGGATGGAACCCTCCCAAATTTCTTGGACTGTAAAGACCAGACTGGGGTGAGGAGAGTGAAAGATCTTTTGTGGGTGTGAAGAGACTCGAGACTTATGACACGTTTGATCCCTCCCTCAGGCTCAGCCTGGTCATAGCCTACAAGGTGCGTGCTGCTCTTGTGATTGGTGCTTCTTGTTTGAACCACCTAGAAGGAGGCATGGACAAAGGAGAAGCATTCTTGATAACTATAATGCTTCTCGGTTATTTCCTTACAGTGGTGCAAAACTCTAGCCAAGCCTTTTTAAAACTCAGCCTCTTTTAAGGACGGAGAGTCAAGATTTATCATGTCATTAACCATCTTTTTTTATTAAATCGTTACATTTAAGCAGGAGGAAGCGGCAACCCTCCCCAAAAAATTATTTGGATGCTAGTTATGGAGCCAAATTTATATTGTAGTTTTAAATCTCTTGGTGTCAATTTAGTGCATTGTCTTTAATTAAAGGTCAATGGAAATTGAACTGCGAGCCTCAGGGAGGCTCTAAACTGGCCTGTGAAGCTACAAGGCTGCCCATTAGGAAGGGTCCTTTGCAGCAGATTTCATTCGATTGCCACTGAACCCGTTCAGTTGCAAGTTAGTAGTATAATGTTACTCCCGGTTTAGAACAAGGACAGTCAACGTTCTGAGGCTTCCTCGCCTTTCGGTTCTTCTTGGTGATTCCAGCAGAGAGCATTTTGCTTGGATCAGAAATATGTAAAGTTAGCCTGGTGGTTAGCGATTTGGTTGGGGTAATGGTCTTCCAATTGGATAGCATAAAGGGTTTATCAAAGGATCGGGGGAAAGAACTCGTGGTTATCTCAATCGACGTTATAGCGCTGGAAATGTGGAGCGCACTGTTGGAAAGGGGTCAATGTTTTGAAACATTTTTGAAAGATCTAGTGCAAATGTGATGTCCATTCCTTCCTTCCTCCCTCTATCCACTTTCCTTAAATCTCTCTATCTCCACCATCCCTCCACCACTCTACTTTCCTTTCATCTCTCTATCCTGTCCTTCCCTTCACCTCCCTCCCTCTATCTACTTTCCTTCGATCTCTATATCTCTTCTCCTTTCTTCCCCCCTCCGCCGCTTTCTTCCTTCCTTTTCTCATCTTCCTTCTCTCTTTGTCTCCTCCCTCCCTCCCTCCCTCTATCCACCTTCCTTCAATCTATCTCCACCCTCCCTCCATCTCTCTACCCTCTTTCCATCTCTCTATCCTGTCCTTCCCTCCACCTCCCTCCCTCTCTCTATCCACTTTTCTTCAATCTGTATATCTCTTCTCCTTTCCTCCTTCCCTTCCTTCCTTCCTTTTCTCATCTTCCTTCTCCTTTTGTCTCCTTCCTTCCTTCTCTCTATCCATTTTCCTCCCTCCCTCCCATTCTTCCTTCC